GCGGAGCGCAGAGCCCGCCCGAAACGTCCCGGGCGCAGTGAGCCCGCCCGCCCTTCCCGGGGCGCACGGCAGAGAGGGGCGCGCGGCGGCGGCCACAGCGGAGACCGAGGTCTGTAAGCGGGGAGCGGAGGGCGCAGGGGGCGGCGGGACGGAAGGTGGCAGCGGGGGAGGACGGCGGGAGCGGGTCTGGGGCCGAGGAGCGCAGCCTGCGGGCGTAGGGCGGGGGGCGCAGATCCGCTGGCGGGGCGAGCCGGGGAGGTGCTGGGCGGCAGCGGAAGGCTCAGGGGACGGAGCGGCGGGGCTACACTCGGCGCTTGGGCCCTGGGGGGAGGGATGGGGACGGAGAGGGGCCGACGTGCCCGATGCGGCGCGCGGGAGCAGCGGCGGCCGGGGACCGGGGGTGGCTTTGCTTGGGCGAGGAGTCACACGACACGGCACACGTTTCCAAATGCGCGGCCGGTGGGCACAGTCCTTAAAGTTCTCTCCTCCACTCTGGCGCGGTGTCCGACCTGGCCTCCGTCGCCTGGAGACGGCCGCCACCCCTGGACCTCGCTTCGCCCGCGGTGCGGTCCCGGGGCCGGGCCACCGAGTGCGGCCGCCTGCGGAGGGCACGCTCTGGGTTTTGTTTTGTTCTTCTCCTTCTTTCCTTTCTCTAACTTAAACGTGATTGGTGTCCTTGTCCTTTTGGTTCTAAAGCTTTGCCCTCTCTCTTCCCCGGGTTTCTTCTTCAAATTCATAACTTGGAAGGAAAACCCTCGAAAGAGCTCTGGGGCCGCCAGCGCTGTGGCCGCGCCCGCGGGCGGAGCAGTTCCTTGGCCCGTTGACACAGCGCTCCTTTCTCCCAGTCCAGGTGGAAGCGACAACGTGCCAAACTCACGCTAATTAGCACTCAGGTCTTTCTTGCACTGGCCTCTTCCCTCTCCCTTTTGCGAAAGGTTTTACAGAAACGTCCCTACGGCTGCTCCGTGAAACTGGAGCGGCGCGGAGTCCCCCTTCCCTTCCCCGTTTGGCTCACGGGCCCCAGGGAAATTCGGGGCCAGGGGCCGCGAACCCTTGTGCGCGGTGGCGACCGTGACCCTGGGCACGGCCATGCGATGGCCGGGCGTGAAGCTGGCGCTTTGGTAGGCCCTCCCGTCTCCCCCCCATGCCCCAAGGAAAGTAATTGCCTTGATTCGTTTCCCCGGCTCACGATTTCTTTGGTCTCAGACTCCATTTTGCAGGGCGTCCCCTCCCCCTCAGTTTTGACTCCAAGGTTACCTCGAGCCCCGGCAGGTATTTGGACCGGCTCGGACTTAGACATAGGCTGGTCCCACTCGGAAAGAGCGTGCGCTTTCCGCATACATGCAGTGCTAGGCTAAAGAGGGCAGAAGGCTACTTGATGTATTTTTTTCCTTAGGTCGGGGCTTCCTGACCTTCCTCCAGTCTCCCGACCTGCCCCTCACCGTCCAGCTCCCCTCTGCTACCCACCCACCCCACCCCGGAAAAGTTTGCATGTTGTTTTTCTCTAAAATGGTGGCGGCGTGACAGCGTCTGCGTCTGAAGGTCAGGGCTTCCGTGCTCCTGTCTCTCTGTCATAAGCCCCTTCTTTGCCAGACCAGAGATGACATTGTTTTAAAGGGAAAACAGGTTGGCAAAGGACAGGTCTCCCAAACCTGGCTGTACATCAGAATCACCTGGGACGCACTTGCAAATAAACATAAAAACACCACTGCATTTCTTTAAAAGAATTCTAGAATTCTGAATGGTCCCGCATCCAGCGGGCCTTTTCCTGTGTAATTTCGTAGGCATCCACAATTAACCATTTCTTCTTCTCTGCCTCTCCCCTCCTCCCTCCCTCCCCCGACCTGTTTTTCAGGCAACATCTTCGTGGTCAGCCTCTCCGTGGCAGACATGCTGGTGGCCATCTACCCCTACCCTCTGATGCTTCATGCCATGGCCATTGGGGGCTGGGATCTGAGCCAGCTCCAGTGTCAGATGGTCGGCTTCATCACAGGGCTGAGTGTGGTCGGCTCCATCTTCAACATCATGGCCATTGCCATCAACCGCTACTGCTACATCTGTCACAGCCTCCAGTACGAACGGCTCTTCAGTGTGCGCAACACCTGCATCTACCTGATCGTCACCTGGATCATGACGGTCCTGGCTGTCCTGCCCAACATGTACATTGGCACCATCCAGTACGATCCTCGCACCTACACCTGCATCTTCAACTACCTGAACAACCCTGTCTTCGCTGTGACCATCGTCTGCATTCACTTCGTCCTCCCCCTGCTCGTAGTGGGCTTCTGCTACATCAGGATCTGGACCAGAGTGCTGGCCGCCCGGGCTGTGGCTGGACAGAACCCAGACAACCAGCTGGCTGAGGTGCGCAATTTCCTAACCATGTTTGTCATCTTCCTCCTCTTTGCAGTGTGCTGGTGCCCTATCAACGTGCTCACTGTCCTGGTGGCTGTCAGCCCAAAGGGGATGGCAGACAAGATCCCCAACTGGCTGTATCTTGCTGCCTACTTCATAGCCTACTTCAATAGCTGCCTCAACGCTGTGATCTACGGGCTCCTCAATGAGAATTTCCGAAGAGAATACTGGATCATCTTCCATGCGATGCGGCACCCTGTCCTCTTCATCTCTGGCCTCATCACTGACATCCGTGAGACTCGGGAAGCCCGTGCCCTGGCCCGTGCCCGCGCCCGCGCCCGAGACCAAGCCCGTGCGCAAGCCCGTGCCTGCCCTGCTGTGGAGGAAACACTAATGAGTGTCCGGAATGTTCCGCTCCCCGGTGACGCTGCAGCTGGCCAGCCTGACCGTGCCTCTGGCCTCCCCAAGCTGGCCACTGGCTACTCCAAGTCTGCACTGGGCCACAAGTCTGCTGCGGGCCACTCCAAGTCTGCCACTGTCTACCCTAAGCCTCCCTCTGTCCACTTCAAGCCCGCCTCTGTGCACTTCAAGGCTGACTCTGTCTACTTTAAGCCTGCCTCTAGCCACCCCAAGCCTATCACTGGCCACCACTTCCCTGCTGGCAGCCACTCCAGGACTGTCTTTGGCCCTGCCACCAGCCACTCCAAACCCACCACGGGCCACATCAAGCCTGCTACCAGCCTCTCTGAGCCCACCGCTGCTGACTACCTTGAGTCGGCCACCACTGGCCGCCTTGAGATCACCACCCCCTGCCACCGTGAGACCACCACCACCACCGGCCCCCTTGAGTCTGACATCGCTGAGCCTGTCTCCAGTTCTGCCAGTGGGTCCCCCGAGCCTGCTGCCAGCCAGCTGGAGCTTGCCATCGCTGCTGGCCTTCCCGAGATTGTGGTGGTTGATGTCGAAGCTGATTCTGATGAAGTGGCTGTGTAAAACATTCTCTTGCTGATGGCCAAGCAGTGGTCCACTCTCAAGGATGTTTTGCATATATGATCCCAAGTGAGATAGCTTTACTGTCCCCCCACCACAGACACACGCAGACCCTGACGCGGTGTGGGCTCCATTCACCTTCAAGCTTACTTCCCCTTCACAAGATGTACTCTACAAAAGTGTGTGTGTGCTTACGACTGCAGAGACCACCTTTCCCCAAAGTTTTACATCTGCTGTCAGAGCCTCCCTTTCCTCGTAAGGCTGACCTCCAGCCCACAGTGACACCTCCTTGGATTTTCTTCTACTTCCTTGCTCCCTTTTTCCTCTTTCCTGCTCCTCCTTTTTCCTGCTTTCTTCTCCCATTCCTCTAGGGGTGGGGGAGGAGTGCATGCGCAGTGGTAAAGGTGTGTTGTGGCGAAGGCTTCTCCACAGTGACTGTCACTGCACAGCTTCATGTTGTAAGTGTGTAACTCTATATCGTCCTTCTAACGGCAGTCAGAAAAGCAGTTACGATTAAGTGCAGGTACTCGAATCAGTTTCTTTTCTAAACTTCAGCGACAAAATAGGCCCCATGTCTGAAGAATACAATTTGTAAACTCTTATTAAAATAGATGTTTATGCATATGAAATCACATGGCAAAAGGAAAGCTGTGGTCACACCAAATTGTTTCTATTCTGTGACAATCCAGACATTGGTGCTGAAATTTAAAGTCAAGCATGTACTCACTTAAACATCCATTCTTAAACTAGTTTCTTCTCCTAAGCCCCAAACTTATGGTAGCTAGGATCAATTACAGTCATGTTTTTAATATTATAATTTATAACTACTCTTTACCTCAGAGATTTTTTAGAACAGCCTGCTGTTTTTACACAACCCATTTTTACATTTTTGGTTTTCGTCTGAAAGGGAATTTGAGATAACAACTGGCAGACAGAGTACTGCTGTGGAGGTTATAAAATGAATATTTCTCCAAAAGCCTTTCTTTTCCACCTGCCCGGTACCATCTTGTCCCTCTGCGCCTCGTGCCTGAGGAGGGAGAGGAGGAAGAAGAGATACAAACCCCAACCAGTCGCACACACTTGGCTGAGAGTCCGTGAGCCAAAATATTAAGTCGGCGAGGTCTTGCATCAGCACACTTGACAGCCCAGGAAATAGTTTTTCTTTAGAAGTCAAGAAAAAAATTGCTGTTTGATAAAAATTTCAATTATTGATTCAAATTGACACTTTAAGCTGAGTTTACTGTACAAAAGCTTGTAAGGATGAGTGGAAATGGATTATACTGCCTTAATTCTATTCTGTATTTGTGGTTTCAATTAAATAAAAGTGTTTTTGTGGCTTTGGTGTGTGATTTATTGATAAATCCGCTTATTCCAACGGGGTGACTCGTCGGGGAGATGGTGTATGGTGGGGGTGGGGGCCTGCGCCTGGAGCGTCAGAAGACTCAGGGACAATGGAAGCTCTGCCACCAGCTTGCTGGATCCCAGGGCAAAGCCCTTGACCCCTCTCTCCTCTGGGTCTTTACTTAGCAGAGTGTGGGGAGGGGATGAGGGAGGTAGGCCTGTGAGGGAGGAGGTAGTTCTTCTCATTATTGACCTGCCCGCCCTTGGACTTCTGCACCTTACCTGCTATGGCATCTGAAAACAGAACCTCTTTTACCACCCATGGAAGGAGTGAGGCCAGGCCACAATAATGTCACAATCCTAGAAGCTGCTGGGTCCAGGGGCCAAGTGGGGGAGGCACAGGAATGGGGGGCTTTCCTCTCCAGCTGGGAGATGGGTGGCAAGACCCCAGCCACTGGGCCAGGCTCCTGACCTCAGGAACATAGTTCCAAAAGAATACCTAGTGACAAAGATATGTGGACTCAAAATAATATACAGCAGGATATCAAGTTTGTTACAAACGTGCATATGAAACACACGTACATGCACACAGACACTCAGAGTTATGCATATGTAGCCATTCCATCCAGGCGTTGCCAGATTGTGGGTATAAACTGAGGCTGTTTTCCTTTTTAACGCCCAAATTACTGGGGTTTGAGGCCAGCCAGCGTGACTGCTGGAGCTCAGGCTGACCGCTCCCCTGTGAAAAATACCTGCCAAATTTTCCTGGAGACCCCAAAAAGATGCTTACACATGCGCTCACAAACAGATCTACAATCCTCCCCCGCGCCCTCCCCCACCCCGTCCGTGTTTTCCACGTTTTCTTTCCACCCCCTACCCAAGAAGCCTTGCTTCCCGTGAGGTTGTTAGTGTCCAAACCTCGTGTGTTGTGTTCCAACGCTCCAAACTGCCCCTCTCCAGGGGCTCAAGGGGTGCAGGGTTTTGAGAGGTGATGGGAGGGGTGCGGAGAATTATGGGTCCTCATTACAACTTTGCACTACACTTGCCCAGAGTCTCCCAAAGTCTCAGGAAGGCAGCCGCTTCAGCCTTCCTCACTCCGCTGTCTCCTGCGAGCAGCGTTCTCCGGTCCCGGCCGCCCCAGGCCCTATCCTGGCGCAGGGACAAGCAGGAGTTCAAGGATAGTCCCTTCGCAGTTCAGGCTTAACCAGGAAATGTTTTCCTCTGCCCTTCCCCTTGTAACCCGCGCCTTCCCCCCAACAAAGACAAGAAATCTCCGAAACACAGCTCTGATTTGCCACCCCCACTTTGGGTGATCACGACGCTGATGCTCCGCGCAGGTGTAAGTTGTTCCTAGTTCTCCGCAGGAAAATGCAGGGCTTGGGGCTTTGCGTCCGTGAGAACGAAAGGGTCGGCTTTGCTGACTTCCGGGAAGAGTGAATCTGCCCCAAGGTGAGCCCGTATCTCCATAATTAGAGTTAAAAAAATAGAAGCAACTTTTCAATGACAGTTTCCTCCAGTTCCTACTCTTTTTTCCCCCTCTCTTTACATTGAAATATATATACTGCCAAGTGACACACTGGTAATTTTTTAAAATATGTATGCTGTTGTTGCTGTCTGCTGTGGAGCCAGCCACCTACTCAAGGCAACCCCTGTGCTGTAGAGTAAAAACGGCTCCATAGGGTTTTCTTGGCTGTAATCTTTATGGAAGCAGATCACCAGGCCTTTCTTTCGCAGAGCTGCTGGATGGGTTCAAAGTGCCAACCTTCCAGTTAGCAAACTACACCACCCAGCCTTCCACCCTGAGCAAGATACAGATATTCCCAGCTCTGCAGAAGTCTCCTGGAGACTTTGGCCCTCTTTTGCCCCTTCTGATCAATCCTCATCCAAAAGTAACTGCTATCCTGTCCTCTATTGCCATATGTTAAATGTGCTTGTTCCGGCACTTTGTATCAGTTGGAAGCATGCAGTATGTCTTCCTTTATGTCTGGCTTCTTTTGCTCAACATTATGTCTCAGAGATTCATCCATGTTTTTATGTGTATCAGTCCTTTCCTTTTTATATTTCTATAGTGTATATATATGTATATAGGGTATACCACAATGTATTGCTTCTACTATTGTGTTCTGGATTTTAGTATACACCACACACACACGTATGTGTATGTATATATAGTTCACAAATCTTCTCTTAGTCTGTGATTTGCCTTTTCACACTCTTAATTGTATCTTTTGGTGAGCAAAAGTCCTTAATATTATGAAGTCCAATTTATCAGTTTTCTCCTTTGTGAATGCGTTTTGTGTTTAAGAAGTTTCTGATTACTCTGATATAATGAATATATTCTCCTGTTTTTGCTTTTCAGAAAGTTTGTGGCTTTGCTTTTCCCATTGAGGTCTATGATCCATATTGAGTTAATATTTTTGCGTCTGATGTGAGATAGGGGTCAAGTTTCGTATTTCCCTATCATCACCATTTTTGGAAAAGACCATGCCTTGCCCCACTGAATTGCAGTGCAGACTTTGTTGTCAATTAGAGAATCATATATATATGACATGTATGTATCTATATGAATACCTACCTGTTTCTGGACTGTCTATTCTGTTTTATTAGTCTATTTTGTCTATCCTTACAGCAGTACAGCATTTTTTTAACTGAAGTACATTTACATACAGCGATGTACACATATATTAAGTATACAGCTAAATGGATTTCTACATATATACATACTTGTGTAACCACTGCCCAGATGAAGATATAGAACATTTCTTGCAACTCAGAAGGTTCTTTCATATCCCCAGTCAATTAATACCTCCCCTAAAGGTAACCACAAGTCTGACCTCTAATACTGTAGATCAGTTTTGCTAGTTTTAGAACCTCATCTAAATGAAATTATACACTATGTACTCCTTTGTGTCTGAATTCTTTGACTTTACATTATGCCTTTGAGATGCATCCATGTTGTTGCATGTATCAGTAGTTCTTCAAAAACGATTTTATAGAAAGATTTAAAGATGCATAATCTCATTAATCTATGTGAAGTCGAAAAAGCAGATGATAAAATGCAGGCAGTCCCTGGGTTCCGAACACTCAACTTACATTCTTGCCCTTTAATGTTATGTAAATTTGCCCTGACGTTGAAAGGATTGAACCAACCCCTACTCGCAACAAATTCTTCATCACAATCACCTTCACTTGCTGCACGTGCAGCTTTTAAATCACTGAAAAGGCTTTGAGCCTTTTCTTGCACTAAAACACGTTGCCGTCGAGTCAATTCCAACTCATAGTGACGCTATAGGACAGAGTAGAACTGCCCCATAGGGTTTCCAAGGAACGACTGGTGGATTAGAACTGCTGACCTTTTGATTAGCGGCCAAACTCTTAACCACCGCGCTACCAGGGCACCTTCTCGCACTAAATAAGAGGCTAAATAAGAACTATATGCACCTGTTCTGCCTTACCTACAAATTCGACTTAAAGACACAGTTAGGAACGGATCTCGTTCATAACCTGGGGGCTGCCTGTGGTAAGTAATTTTAATAACAAAAACTACAATGTGTATATGAAAAGAAATATGTTTTACCATTTTTTATAATAAACATAGAGCCCTGGTGGCAGAGTTGTTAAGAGCTGCGGCTACTAACCAAAAGGTTGGCAGTTCGAATCCA